GAGGTGACAAATCTGCGCTGGCCAATACAATATTAGTTGACATCTACATGACACCAAAGTTTGGCATGACACTCACATGACACAAAGCTGAGACCACGGGCGGGATATATGGTCGTGACATGGTCGTCAGATCGTCGTGAGATGGTCGTGAGATGGACCAAACGGACGCCCAGAGAACGAAATAAAAGAACGACCTTCAATCTGTGGCTGTTGGTTCTTGTCTCACAATATAGCAATTTCTTCTCTTCTCGAATGTTCTGTTCGTTTGTGACATGTATGCAGTCGTTTAATCTCAAACAAAACAGAAAAATGTAATTGACACCACTTTCCTCGACTTTACAGATCAAATATCAGCTATTGGGTGGGGGGGGGGGAGGGGGAATGTCAGTTTGCAGGTCTGGCTTTATTGGAGACTGCCAAACCTATCTTGTAACTAGACTGACTTAAGACAGTGCTGAGTAGAGGTCATATTTGTGTGATTTTTTGGATGAGGCGGACTGACGTCATACAAGTCTTCTTGTCCTAGGTCCTATTCTAGTTCTCATTGCTGCATTTCGTCCAAGGTTCTAAAGTCATGAAGAATTTAGAACCCTCTACGTGGATTTTAATATATTTCATGCTAATTAATCGCCAATCTTTTTAATGAACTAGTGCCTTAGTGGTGGCTGGTTGTAGTGCGACAGCATTCCGACTCGCAGTAAACTACCTTTAAACAGCTACAACAAATAGAATAGTCGTAAACAGCTACAGCAAAGAACAGCCATAAACAGCGACAGCAAACAGAACAGCCATAAACAGCGACAGAAAAAACAGAACAGCTATAAACAGCGACAGCAAAAAGAACAGTCGTAAACAACGACATCAATAACAACACCCGTATATATTTGTGTAGAGTTTGGTAAACATACATTTTATACCCCCCCCCTAGTTTTAGGCAAACATATGTTGCCCAGGAATCTCCTAGCTGTCACTAATTAGTCAGGTAATTAATTAAGGTTCGTATGTTACCTCGACTGCTAGAATACCACGTCTGCGCATCATACACTAACAGAACAACACCTGCACTTCAAATATTTTATTTGTCATGTTTTCTAGCCCACCTAACTTAGCCACCATCAACACTTATGAAAATAGCCATATTTTCTAGCCCACCTAACTTAGCCACTATCCACACATGTATTATGAAAATAGTGAGTGGACACGAACCAGGCAAGATAGTTCTTAATGCCAGATGTGTGGGGGGGGGGGGGGGGGTGGTCAAGTTATGACCATCGGTCAGATCAGATAATTTTCTACACTCTAGCAATCTTTAAATCTTTTTTTTTTTTTTGTAGAACTCGACTTTGTAAATTACTCATTTGATTTAAAATATTCAATTAAAGTTCAGAGTTTCTTCCAGGCATCTCTTCAGGGGTTATATAATTTATATAGAAAATATATACTTTTAATAGTTTCCACCCCCTACACGAAGAAAGTCTACCGCCCCCCCCCCCCTTCCCCCCCCCCCCGAAAATTTCAAGTGCACCCCCCCTTTCCCCCCCCCCCCCCCCCCCTCCGAGAAAAAAATCTGGAAAAAACACTGTTTAAGTTGAGTTTATACCGAGCTTAGCTCGACTGAATGTCTCAAATAAATAACTCTACGAAATGACTGACATAAATGTCTCGGAAAAATGATTTGACCATGTTTTAGCTGGCTAACTTAACCTATTGACTGTTGATTTATGGTGCTGGTATTGTTATATGATGTGACAGCAATTCCTAATCGAAAAATTGTTCGCGTTCCATTATTCCAAGCTGCTGCTGTTAGTGGTATCATTTGAGGGGTAATAGCTGTAGCTATGTAACAGTAAGTATAGCTATGCAGTAGCTGTAGTTACACAACAGTAGCTGTAGCTATACAACAGTAGCTGTAGCTATACAACAGTAGCTGTAGCTATACAACAGTAGCTATACAACAGTGACTGTAGCTATACAACAGTGACTGTAGCTATACAGTATACAACAGTAGCTGTAGCTATACAACATCAGCTGTAGCTATACAACATCAGCTGTAGCTATACAACAGTAGCTGTAGCTATACAACGGTAGCTGTAGCTATACAACAGTAACTGTAACTATACAACAGTAGCTGTAGCTATACAACAGTAGCTGTAGCTATACAACAGTAGCTGTAGCTATACAACAGTAGCTATACAACAGTAGCTGTAGATATACAACAGTAGCTGTAGCTATACAACAGTAGCTGTAGCTATACAACACTGACTGTAGCTATAAAACAGTAGCTGTAGCTATACAACACTAGCTGTAGCAATACAACCAACAGTGACAGTAGCTATACAACGGTAGCTGTAGCTATACAACAGTAGCTGTAGCTATACAACAGTGGCTGTAGCTATACAACAGTAGCTGTAGCTATACAACAGTAGCTGTAGCGATACAACAGTAGCTATACAACAGTAGCTGTAGCTATACAACAGTAGCTGTAGCTATACAACAGTAGCTGTAGCTATACAACAGTAGCTGTAGCTATACAACAGTAGCTGTAGCTATACAACATCAGCTGTAGCTATACAACAGTAGCTGTAGCTATACAACAGTAGCTGTAGCTATACAACGGGAGCTGTAGCTATACTGACTGTAGCTATACAACAGTAGCTGTAGCTATAAAAGTATCTGTAGCCATACAACAGTAGCTGTAGCTATACAACACTGACTGCAGCCATACAACAGTAGCTGTAGCTATACAACAGTAGCTGTAGCTATACAACAGTAGCTATACAACAGTGACTGTAGCTATACAACAGTGACTGTAGCTATACAGTATACAACAGTAGCTGTAGCTATACAACAGTAGCTGTAGCTATACAACAGTAACTGTAGCTATACAACAGTGACTGTAGCTATACAACAGTGACTGTAGCTATACAACAGTAGCTGTAGCTATACAACATCAGCTGTAGCTATACAACATCAGCTGTAGCTATACAACAGTAGCTGTAGCTATACAACATCAGCTGTAGCTATACAACAGTAGCTGTAGCTATACAACAGTAGCTGTAGCTATACAACAGTAGCTGTAGCTATACAACAGTAGCTGTAGCTATACAACATCAGCTGTAGCTATACAACAGTAGCTGTAGCTATACAACAGTAGCTGTAGCTATACAACAGTAGCTGTAGCTATACAACAGTAGCTGTAGCTATACAACAGTAGCTGTAGCTATACAACACGGACTGTAGCTATACAACAGTAGCCGTAGCTATACAACAGTAGCTGTAGCTATACAACAGTAGCTATACAACGGTAGCTGTAGCTATACAAAAATAGCTGTAGCTATACAACAATAGCTGTAGCTATACAACAGTAGCTGTAGCTATACAACAGAAGCTGTAGCTATACAACAGTAGCTGTAGCTATACAACAGTAGCTGTAGCTATACAACAGTGACTGTAGCTATACAACAGTGACTGTAGCTATACAGTATACAACAGTAGCTGTAGCTATACAACAGTAGCTGTAGCTATACAACAGTAGCTATACAACGGTAGCTGTAGCTATACAAAAATAGCTGTAGCTATACAACAATAGCTGTAGCTATACAACAGTAGCTGTAGCTATACAACAGAAGCTGTAGCTATACAACAGTAGCTGTAGCTATACAACAGTAGCTGTAGCTATACAACAGTAGCTGTAGCTATACAACAGTAGCTGTAGCTATACAACAGTGACTGTAGCTATACAACAGTGACTGTAGCTATACAGTATACAACAGTAGCTGTAGCTATACAACAGTAGCTGTAGCTATACAACAGTAGCTGTAGCTATACAACAGTAGCTGTAGCTATACAACAGTTTTTAGCTGTAGCCGCACATTTGAAGTTCTAGCTGTGCAGCTGGAGTCGTTGTTGTGCTGTTTGAGAATCACCCGTGCGGCTGTAGCCGTGCAGCTGTAGCCGTGCAGCTGTTGCCGTGCAGCTATAGCCGTGCAGCTGTAGCTGTGTGGCTGTAGCCGTACAACAGTACAGCTGTACATCAGTGGGTCTGTCTGCACTGTTCTAAAAGTTCATTTTGACCGTAAATTTTTAATATATTATAAAAGTTCATTTCAACCATTTATTGTTTATCTTTCCTCGTAGGTGGAGGGGGGGATGTATTGGAGGGGAAGGTGATGTGTTGGTGGGGGAGGGGATGTGTGGGTGGGGCCGATGAGTTGACAACTTTGTACTACCACAGGTGTCGGTGCCGTGCTAGAGTGCATGTCCGACACGTGCGTATGACGTCAGGCCGTGTGTTCTCAGCCGTGTCTAGGTCACCGGTGACTGACCTTGATGTCGCCGGTGACTGACCTTGAGGCCACGGGTCTAGCCCAGGCCGTAGTGGCGGCGAGCCACTGTCCGAGTCTGTCGTCCGTCACGACCAGGCCGTGTGGCAGCCTCCCCCCCCCCCCTCCCCCCTCCATCCCAATCAGACGTCCCCGATACCGCTGACCGCTGGGGTCAGTGCAAGGCCGCAGCACAGAAAACAAGCGTGCGTTATCTGCCCGTTGGCATGAGCCTCCAATAGGTCAGCCTAATCTGGGTCACGTCTGCCCACATCTTATATTAAGGCTCGACGTGTTTACATTTTAGTCAGAGGTGTCACGTTATAGGTATCACGTTAAAGATATCACGTTAGAGCTATCACGTCAGAACTGGAGTCGATCAAATTTCACGTTGGCCTTAGCGACATGTTTCTCAGCGGGAGTTTATATCGTGAGAAGTACGTTGGATATTTATATTCTAAGTATCTTTATAGTTTTCGTAGAGTAATGGTTCAACATATGTAAAATAAGCATATAGTTTTTTGAGGACATGTTCAACAGTTGAATATTCGTTGATCAAACGTGAAGCCAGCGGGCTCGACCAACGCCTTTGTAAGTTAGCACAGCGGGTTGGAGCATGCGCAGTGCGGCTATGTGGAGGGTATTTATAACCCCCACTACTGCGCCACAGTCATTAATTACGGCAATATTGTCCAACAGAGATCACGTGACCCATCACTTCTGTCGTCACAGGCGAGAGAACTCTTCACCGTTTTGTAAAGTAGACAGTGGACATCCATACATACCCGAGCTTGACGAATTTGATACGATATTCGAGTGATCTCGAGCTAGAAGCGGCTGATACTGTTAGCGTAGAGCCAGAATTGTACCAGTTAGAGCTAGAAGCGGTTGATACTTAAGTTAGCGTAGAGCCAGAATTGTACCAGTTAGAGCTAGAAGCGGTTGATACTTAAGTTAGCGTAGAGCCAGAATTGTGCCAGCTAGAGCTAGAAGCGGTTGATACTTAGGTTAGCGTAGAGCCAGAATTGTGCCAGCTAGAGCTAGAAGCGGTTGATACTTAATTTAGCGTAGAGCCAGAATTGTACCAGCTAGAGCTAGAAGCGGTTGATACTAAAGTTAGCGTAGAGCCAGAATTGTGCCAGTTAGAGCTAGAAGCGGTTGATACTGTTAGCGTAGAGCCAGAATTGTGCCAGCCAACCTAACACTACAGGTTTTGTTTGAAGGTTCAGGTACAGGAGACCCAAGATGTCGACAGTGGTCAACAATGACGTCATGATAGCCGAGGAGCAGAACAAGGAGATGTGTGAGCAGAGGAGGGTGTTGGTGGGTATGGACGGCAGCAAGGATTCGAACACGGCATTTGATTGTAAGTACACCAGCTGGGGTGTGTGTGGAAGTGGTGTGTGGGGTGGTGATGTGTGGGTATGGACGGCAGCAAGGATTCGAACACGGCATTTGATTGTAAGTACATCTGTTGGGGTGTGTGTGGGAGTGGTGTGTGGGGTGGTGATGTGTGGGTATGGACGGCAGCAAGGATTCGAACACGGCATTTGATTGTGAGTACATCTGTTGGGGTGGGGGGAGGTAGTGTGATGTGGTGGTGTGTGGGAAAAGTGGTAAGATGTGGTGTGTGGGCAAATTATGACTTGTGGTGTGTTGGCGATTTATGAGTAGTGTTATTTGGATAAACATTTATTTGAATTGTATGATTGAAGGTCGCATGAACGAACAAAAGTGTGTGATTTGAACTAATCCTGTGATGTGTTGTGTGAACTGATGGTGACGTATGTCACCTGTATGTCAGCGTGTGAGACTCTAGTGACGTGTAAACAAACAGCTGACCAGCGCCCTCCCCTCCCCAGGGTACATCGAGAACATCTACCGTCCTGGTGATATCGTCATCATCGGCTACTGCCCCGCCGCGGGGTCAACATTTCATTGTAAGTTGTTGTCTTCAACCTTGCTGTTGTATGTAGGCTACACAGCCGCTGCAACCTTCTTCACACATATACATACACACACACTCACACACACAAACCCTTGCACATTCTACATGTAAGTGTCTAAATCCAAAAACACACATTCTTCTCAAGAATAAACAAACACCCAATCACCCATGACTAGATAGCTAGTATCTCACACAATTATATGTCGGATGTAAATTAATTAGAAGTGCACCCCACCCTACTTCTATTCTGTAAACCTGTCCACGTGACCCTGTCAATGAATCTGACTGACCACAACAAACTGCGCATCTCTGTCTAACCAATCTCACAACGCCATTTTATTCAAGTGGTCACATGACCTTGTTGATGTATTGATTTCGTTGCCCTAAACATTCGATTGAGCACACCCGCCCCCAATGTATTGGGATGGTAAACACTATTTGATTGGTATAAACGTCAGTCGTAAGGATTGCATGTTGATATCACGAGTAAGATTGGCTGTACTGCTGTATAGCTACAGCCACTGGTACACTACCTTTTTCAGTGCTAGATGTTTCTCTGTGTAGGGTTTATATATATATATATATATATATATATATATATATATATATATATATATATATATATATATATATATATATATGTATATATGTATATATGTATATATATATATATATATATATATATATATATATATATATATATATATATATATATATATATATATATATATATATATATATATATATATTAATACCCAAAGAAATGAGAATGTAAAGTCGAGTTATTTATTACTATAAATTTCTAACATCTTCGCCCATCTAAGTTTGTACTGTTTGTGTTGTGAAATCTGCGCACCAAACTGTGTTTGTACTTTAAATATGGGTCGTAGCTCTGATCTTGGTCGACCTGTTCTTCGTGTGGGAGCATACACAAAATGTAATCTACAAGGTGAAGGTCGACAGGGGGCCTTTTAAAAATAGATATTGGTATCGCTAGTTCACTGGTTGCTGTAAGGATACTGACACAATGTGACGCAGCTTAGTGACGCAATGTGGCGCAGCTTAGTGACTCGTTGTGACGCAGCTTGGTGACGCGTTGTGACGCAGCTTGGTGACGCAATGTGACGCAGCATAGTGACGCAATATGACGTAGCTCGGTGACGCGTTGTGACGCACCCCATTAACGCCGCATTATAAGTGTACTAAATTCTAACGTTAAATAGGTATACCTCGTTACATGTGTGTACTTGCTATAAGATGCTGTACACTCTGTACACTACTTTTTAAACGAAATGGTCCCCCCCCCACACCGCAACCATACTTCTCCCCACCACATACACCCAACTATGGACTTAAGATTCGACTTTCTTTAAGCTCTCTACCCCGACTCTACTGAACTAAACTAACAGAAAGACGAGACCTTACGTGTACGGGAAGTAAAACATATGTCAGGAGTGACCACCATTGTATGTAATGGATCACTAGCACAAGTTCTTGATCAAATATGTTCACATATTCCCTGATCCTAACCCCCACACCAGTGATGCTAAATATAGCCGCCACACCAGTGATGCTAAATATAGCCACCACACCAGTGATGCTAAATATAGCCGCAACATCACTGATGCCTTTATACCTTGTGTATTGGCAAGCTATTAGCATTATTTACCCTCTATGTGTATCTCTTCCGCTTCAGTTCAATTCTGCTGTTTGATTGGTCCAGTGGCCGTAACATAGCTTTTAGATGGTAACAAAACATTTAATAAAACAAAAATCGAACAACCTGTATTAACATTGAAAAATGGTTTTCGTTCTTTAAATAAAGATTAAAGACTGTATCATTTGGAGGAACAGGTAACAAGAAGTTTGGCCATTGGCTAGTTTCTGACTAACGTCCGATAAATGTCCGGCCAATGGCCATGTCCGACTAATGTCCGACATTAGTATTTAACCAGTGCTTATACTTGTATGCATAGGCTAAACAAACCTCCACCTTTAGAACCTTGAGCCACATAGACCCCTTTTGTAGAACTAATGTATGAAACTGTATGTAGCATACCCTCCACCCCGCTCTGTACTGCATCCTTCGTGACCTCCGACCCACTGTATGCCAACTTCCGGGACACGCCCCCTGGATCGAGATTAGCATTCTTTGTAAATCAGCTTTTAAAATATGTCTGGTGTGGGTCACAGCTAATTGGGACTGGCTAATTAGCAAGGCTGACAGACGGTCCTATCCTTAACGTTTCTCAAGTTCGCCCTCTAAAAGAAATTTTTGGTAACACTACAAGTTGTTTGGTGACCCCTTTGGATCAGTCATACTGCTGTACAAGACAGTACGTAGTTACTATGGGTAGTTCTCACACTGCAGGCAGTACTTAGTTACTGCAGGCAGTACTTAGTTACTGCAGGCAGTACTTAGTTACTGCAGGCAGTACTTAGTTACTGCAGGCAGTACTTAGTTACTGCAGGCAGTACTTAGTTACTGCAGG